ACTCTGCTAACTATTACTATGAGTGAATTGATTACAGAACATTGTAATTTACTTGAACAATGGAAAGAAAATAATCAATTTTATCAAGATAGAGATGACATTTTAAATGATTTTCATACAGAATTAAGTCGTCTTCAATCATCAAATATTGTTACATTTCGCCAAGAAATAAATAAAGTTACAACATTATTATGTACTAATATAATAAATCTGAATGAATTAATTTTAACATTTTTTCTTGATTATTTTATTCAATTATTGAAACAATGGCGTGAATTAACTTATTTTCATGATTCAAATGATTCGGATACATTTGAAAATTTATCAATCATTTTAAAATGTTATTCTCACGATTTAATGAATGAATTATTAGTTCAAGAATTTATTCAATGTCTTATTACAATTGCACGTATTGGAAAAGATATGTTTACGAATCGAAATATTCCAGTTATAACACGTATGCTCAATGCTTATACTGATATTGAGAGTAGTAATAGGCATTACTTTATGCAAGTGTCACAGTTTGATGATAGTATACTAAAATGTCTGTGTACGCCTTATACTGTTGAAGTTTTTGATCAATTTAAATTATCAGTTAAATCTGAAGAACGTACTCCAACAGAAGATTTTGTGTTTGATGGTTTGTTTGGTCATGTTTCATTAATGAATAGAGAAAAACTTCAAGAACAAGCTCTTGATTTACGTAAATATTTACTTGCATCAATAGGTGATTTACTCGATACATTTGAAATATCATACAATGAATGGTCAGAATCAGCTGTTAAAATTCTTACAGATTTAACAACATTATTTCTTTATTCTGTACAACTGACTATAGTAAATGATATATGTCAGGATGTACAACAACATATTTGTGATACTGCTATTCGTATTCTTGTAATTCCAACATATCGATCAATGAAACTTAATAATAATTGTCTTCAATATATTTATATGGGAACATCAAATGATAAAACATTAGATCATTTACAAAGTCAAAAATTAACATCGACCATGTTTAATATAGCTAATCTGTTTAAAAATGAAGGAGAAATTCAATTTAATGTTTATCGAATATTAGCTGCTATTATGAAAGAAGAAGATATCAAACGGCTTGATGGTACACAGGAGCTATAGCTAAAGTATTTCTTGATCATTTAACAGATATAAAAGATCGTTCAGGATGGGAAGTAAGAGTAAGAAATCTATTGACTAGTTTGAAAAGTAAATATTTCAATTGAATACATTCAATTATTTTATTATTTATTTTTATTATTGTTTATTTAGTTTTATTACAACATGATCAAATTCGGGATGAAATACATATACAAAATGGTGTATCACTTTTTATTTATTGTGCAACTATGACAAAATATGATACACTTATTAGACAACGAGCACTTGAAAATCTTTTAATAATGTCATTCAATGAAAAAGTTCATTTAGATTTAAAAGAAAATACGACTTTCATGACATATATTAAGTCTATATCAGAAGATTCTACTGAATCAGATTTACAACGAGCAGCTCAAAGTTTATTATGGATGTTAACAAAAGATGAAACATCAAAAGAATCAATAGATAATAAAACACCAAAAATGACTTATGATATAATGATTAGTTATTCACATAAAGATAAAGATTTATGCTTTCAACTTTATGATCGTTTACAAAAAGATAATTTTCGTGTATGGATAGATCGTGATCAAATGCATGGAACACCTCTTGAATCTATGTCAAATGCAATTGAAAATTCAGAATTTGTATTTCTTTGTATGTCAGATGCATATAAACAAAGTGGATATTGTAAAATGGAAGCATATTATGCATTAGAACGACAATGTTGTATTATTCCATTAGTTATGAAATCACAATATAAACCTGATGGATGGCTTGGAATTGTTGTTACAGGAAGAATGCGTATTGATTTTCCAAAATATGGTTTTGAAGATGCTTATAATAAATTAATGATTGAGATTGATCGACATCGAAAAGAGAGAAAAAAAGAGAGTCATCCACACCATCATGATATACCAGCGACTATTAAACCATCAGATAATACCCCGTTTAAAGAAGATAAAGTAATAGAAAAAATCGTATTTCAAGCAAAAAGGTGAGATTATGATACAGAAAAGTAAGAGAAAAAAATATTTTGCTTTTGGTTTTTTTTAGTGATCATTGTTTACCCTCAAATATTGAACAATGGACAGTCGATGATGTACAACAATTTCTTATTAAACAACAATTTGAAAATTTTTTACCTATATGTTCACGAATGAATGGTACACGTCTTGTTCAATTGTATCAGATGTGTATGAAGAATTCACCAGTGATGTTTCAATCACTCAATAATCAACTTGCTATGACGAATATTGAAAAGAAAAAGTCTATGATTGAAATTGTTGAATATTTGCAATTCTTAGATGATCTTAAACCTTTTGTACCGATTTCACGTGAAAAAACAGAAGTGATTGGGTCTCGATCGACTCTATGCGTATTAATATGATGTTTCTTATGCGATTGATATTTTCAATAAAATCATTTTGCATAGAACTATCTTTCACTGTGTTTTAACAACATGATATACCAATCATATATAATAAAACATTTAATATTATTTCTCTTTCAAGTGATAATCGATGAGTTTAGAAGAGACATCTTTAAAATATAAAAATTCTGGCGAAAATCCTAGATTAATAAGTAGAGGAGAAACATCAAATCCATTTGCATGCGACAGAAATATGAAAAATGCAGTAGAAATACTACCGAAATACCATTTGATTTGACATTTGGTATAGTATACACAAGGCGTGAAATATATTATACTATTTGCTAACCGTATTAGCCGTTTTATTGGATTTTGGTAAACACACGATTAGCTGTCTCATATCATGATATCATTCTCTTCGTCACACAGATAAACAGTCAAAACATACATAAAAAAACATTTACTCATAGTGCATAAAAAATTAAAATGAGACCAAAAAAAACTTTACCCGTGTGTTCACATAAGAGACGTTACAATAACAAGATGAACGGCAAAAAAAAACTGTTTACTATTCAGAATAAGAAGGTGGTTATATTACAGAGAGATATTTCCATTAAAACACGCTCTATCGGTTCTGATACCACTCATAGTTAGAAAGTATTCATTACTAGACGTTTTACTGTATATATCTATGTAAGATACCCGCAATTCAAAGTTTCTGTAAAACAATTCTTTTTTTTTCGTGTTTTTTTACACTTGCTTCAGTAGAACGCAAGCTACTGATTACGATAAATTAGTTCTCAGTTTTTGAAAAGTTTTTTATGTCAAAAAATTTTAAAAAATTGAAAGAGAACCTTTTGTTTTTAGAAATCTGCATCAGTTTTCAAAGTATTACGAAATTTGCTATTTTAGTGTTTTCTTCAGTTTATTGAACTGTTTTTTTCGAATAACTACAGTATTAATAACTGAGTATAAAAATAGTGTTGAATTGGTTTCAATTCAAAAAAGTTTTTCATAGTGCCGGCTTCAATTGTGTCCAATAGAGCGCTTGTCGGCCATTTTTGTAAACCTATCTAGTTTTTCTGGTTAAGTGAAGAAGTGAAATATTTTATGTT